GATTACAGAAGTTGACACAGACGGGTCCGACTCTTTTGTGACTTAAAATCACAGCGGAGTTCACCCTCACAGCATCTGCACACGCGGCAGCTGCTGTCTGCTAGCACAGGCCTTTGTGTCCACTCGCCATCCCATAAGTCTCCTGTCTGCACTTATTGTGTCTCTCGGCCAATCAAAATCAAAGCTCCGGCCTTTTACTCAGCTGCTATTTGCTGGGTGGGGACAGCCTTTATATTATTGAACCCTTGGTGACTTACAAAACTCTGCTCACTGTTGTTGGACAATGGGGCAACTTGGGACAGAGGTTGTGTTAAAATCTCCCCCGCTGAAGCAAACTCTTAAAGATTCCCACTTCTAGTCGCTGTTTTAAGGACACTTTTTATAGTGCAGGTTAAGAATTAGTTTTTTCAGTTTCCACTCAGAAGTTCATAAACCTGTAGCTGGTTTGGTGTCTATGGCAACAGGTTTGTTAAGCTTTTTTTATGTGAGTGACCGCATTGGCTTTTAAAATGTGTGCGATTTCTGTGTCTCTTCACAAATAAGATTCCACATTTTAACATAATCGTTATTCACCATGACTATCATCCTGAATGCATATCAAATACTGACTGACCGTGAAGAGGGACGATTGAATTCAGAGTGCTGAAGTGTGCTGAATCTTCCCAACACCCGTGAATTACCCCCTTCTGAAGAGTAAAAGACTTTGGCAGCAGCTCTGTCTGTGTGAGGCCCACCAGCGTAGTTCCCTATGGCCCAGATTTAGCTACTAATTTAGCCAAACTGCTTAAAGTTATTCTGAACGCCGAACTTAAATCGGTTATTACCAGTGGTGGAGTCCTTATACGCACATATACTCAGTATGCCTACTGTTTTCCACGAGCTGTTTGGGTATTACCACTTCTGAGGATCAATAATTGCGTATACCCTCGGTATACTCGCTTGTTTTGGTGATTAGACTTCCCTAATTTATGTGTATTTGCATCTCCTTTAACTGTCTACTGAATGTATTTTTTTACCTCGCATCTTAATTTGTTGCAATTGGTGCGTTTGTTTAATTTGCGCCATTCCCCACTCCCTGACGACCACAGCAGATCTGAGAAGATTTCGTGAGACTTTTTCGAAGATTACAACAAATCAACTGAATGATGTCTTGCTACAACTTTCAAGTAAAATTTAAAAAACAGCATGGGTGTCCCTTTAGCACTCCTAAATTTCCATTCGACCCCCCTTAAACTTTTTTTGCGATTACCCTTATGAACTGTACATCACTAAATGACCGCCTCAGTCCCCTTTAAATTTTTTATATGAAAACGGCAGCAGACTTCAGCTCCTCTGTTTTCAACTAATTTTTCATTTAATCAGCAAACCACAGCTCTGAGCACATTGTGTGTTTATTGATAAATTGTTGGAACATCTGCATATTATTATATATATTTAATTAGGCTCATATAAATTTAAATGCAGCTTAATACAATTAGCCACTCTCCTGGTCTGCTGGGGTCACTGTTACCCAATCATATTTAAATTGGAATTAAAATGAATAAATTTGTTTTAATATGTGTAAATGGATAGTTCACCCAAAAAAATGACAATTGTCATCATGTCATCAGGTCTGCATATAAAAGTATGGCCAACTGGAATGATTCAACTTTTTTCTGAGGTAATTAGTCTATATTATTGCTGAAATGTGTATCACAAATACAAAACCTGAAGCTAATTGTTTGGGTCTTGTCACATGATTTGCAGTGCGCTTGTGACATTCTGAAAGTTTTCAACTCGCTGTGCTGTAGATGCACCCTGACTCTCAATTTTCAGTGTCCATTTGAAATATTGAACTCTGAGCACCTAAAAGACAGTATGTAAACAGCCCCTAAATCTTTCATAAAGGGATTTGCTGTGATTTAGGTAAAACATTTTAATACTGAGTATATATTAAACTCTTTAATAATAGATCTTCATAATAATAGTCATTCAGGCTTGTGTTGTGTAACATTGCGTCACACTTTTTTTACGGTCCGTTTGTTAAATTGAAGTTACATTGCATCTACATGCCAACTAATTCTTATTAGATTATAAGTGGACTGTTAGGTTGGGGTTGGGGTTAGGGTTAGTGTAATTATGTACTTTTAAAGTTTCTTATAGTCAGTTAAATGTCTGTTAAAGGAGCAGTATCAGCAGATATTAAGCAGACAGTCTGCTAATTCTCAAATGTACCATCAAAATAAAGTGTTACCAACATTGCTGTCAGAAATCCAGCATCGAACCTTTGTATATGATAGGTTTGCCTATGCTAAAATGATGTTATTATATTCTGGGTCAGCTTTTCTGTGTAGACCAGCTTTGACTTTTACTATTTACCTGTCGATGGAAGGTATTGGCAGCATGTGTAGGTGGGTGGAGCTGACAGTGATGTAGAAGCAGGATGTTTGGATCTGTCCACACGAACACAGTTCTTTTTCTATGTAAACTGGCTGTGTGTAAACCCAGTATCTGCTGACTGACTTTTTGCAGGTTTCTGATTGGCCAGCTTGACGTTATGGGGTTGTATTGCCACCTGTTTGTTTGGCGTGCTGACGACAGTGCATCATACTAGTGTGTTTTTGCATTTTTATGTGGACAGAGGTTTTTATATGGGTCATCGGTCAGTTAGTTAGTTAGTTAGTTAGTTACTTTTGATTAAGTGATGCAACTGAAATGTGTTTAAATACTGTTTGGGCTGTTTATAAAAATGTAGTTAAATGGTAGTTAAATGGTAGTGCTATTTAAATAAGTAGTTAGTTAAGTGGGTAGTCTGTATTTAATTTAAATTTATGAATGCAACCAGATTGTCTCTACATATTATTTGTGTCAAATTTTAATTGGTCATTTTAAATGATTAAAACTCATTAATAAGTTATATATTTATAAACACACACACATACATTGATCAATCCACAATACCACACTGACCATAAATCTGTTTAATATTTTATGTAATGCATTGATATTACAAACTGAAAAGATGTCATTTGCAGAAAGTAATGAGCATCTGCACTGTCCGCACTGTAAATGACACATCTCTCGGCCATTCAGTGAAAGGCAGAGAAAGAGAGAGAGGGGGTTGAATATGAGTGAGGGACGACCAGAGGGGGAGAGAAATGTATACCACAGCTTCCAGTTTGTGAGGAGAGCGAGTGTGTGTGAGATCAGCTACAGCCATTCAAACATGCTAACGCTAACACGAGAGAGCCATGGAGCCTCACCAGTTTGCGAGTAAGTGTTTTCTAATTGCATGCACAGGACTGTCCTGAAAGCATGCATGCATGTGTATGTGATGGGGGGGATGGGCAGTGTGTTTGTCAGGCTGTGTGTTCCATGGCTAACACTAGCCTCGCTGCAAGATTCTGCTTTCCATGGAAACACTTGTTTCTAGGGAGGATGTGCATGATTCTGGTGTGAAGACCTGCATTTGTGCAGGTCTAAACAGATATGGCTATGAAAAGCATGCATCTAGTATCATGCATCGTGTATAGAATCATGCAGTGACAATAATTATAAATATGCAAGATTTATTTGTGTAGTATTTCTCAGCTTTTAAGGCTTGCTCATATTGATGTGATACAGAAAACACTTGTTTCATTGCTCTTCTCTGGCTTATTTCATTGCACAGATGTTGTTGTGCTTGTAATTTTATTAACTGTATTTTGTTTGTGATGATATGAATAGTGCTCTCTTTTGTCGCAGTGTTAATAAATCCAATTGTTTGATTCAGTACATTACTGTCTCGTGCACTTGCGTTGTTGTGTGATGTCACTTCTTCCACATCAGCACTCAGGTTTGTTTTGGTCGGGCCTCCATTGGAACAGTCACGTGATCATGAAGGAATGCCACCATCCTCTTAGTCACATGACGTCACTCTTGTAGTCTGTGAAAGCCTTGTACATGCTCAGACTTTTTCAGTGGCTTGAATGGAGTGAAATGGACAGAAGTGATGTGGGTCAGCGCACACTTAGGTCAAGGGAAAAAAAGCCTTTTGTCATTTATCGTGTCTTTGTAAACCTTGCTGTATAGGATTGACATTAGGTCAGGGATTGATTACTTTTTGTGTGAATTGTTCCTCAAACATCACAGATCAAAACGTGCATTATAGAAGTCATGTGGCAATTCATTATTTTCTGGTTCTAGTAGCCCAGAAGAAATCTATTTTTTACAGATGGGAAATGTGTGGGTTTTTTTGCAATAACTTTAGACAGATGATGATGTGTTCATTGGGCGACGCAGTAGCGCAGTAGCTACTGCTGTCGCCTCACAGCAAGAAGGTCGCTGGTTCGAGCCGCGACTGGGTCAGTTGGCGTTTCTGTGAGGATTTTGCATGTTCTACCTTGTGTTCGGGGATATTCGGTACAGGTTAATTGGGTAGGCAAAATTGTCCGTAGTGTATGAGTGTGAATGGGTGTGTATGGATGTTTCCCAGGGATGGGTTGCGGCTGGCAGAGCATCCGCTGCGTAAAAAACATATGCTGGGTTAGATGGCGGTTCATTCTGTTGTGGCGACCCCGGATTAATAAAGGGACTAAGCTGAAAAAAAAAATGAATGAATGAATGATGTGTTTATTCAGTCCTTGCAGGGACTTTTTCTTTTTATATTTGTGGCCTAAAATATCTAATTTTGTGATGGCTTTTCTTAAAACCTATTGCAATTTTTTCTTCAATTAAAAATATAAAAAATACACAAAAACTTGTAAAAAATGTTCATCTTTTTTTATCTCAAGAACCACTAGACTAGCAACTAATAACTAATACGGAGTAGTAAATACAGAGAAAATTATTATATTATCACAAATATCTGTGTAAAAGACTTTTTAGTTTATGTAATAATTCATAGTCGTAATACAGATCTTCGTAGAGTAATATTAAAGGCTTGATCTGGAACAAGGTAAAACAGTAATGCAGCATTAACTGTTCTATTGAATACAAGCAAAGATTTCAAGAGAATGACAGTCTGCCTTATTTTATTTCAGGGTGAGGAAGCTGAAAGAGACTCTGGTGACCGTACAGCAGCTGGATAAAAACATGAGCAATCTCCGTACCTGGCTTTCCCGTGTCGAAAGTGAACTGGCCAAACCCGTCATCTACAGCATCTGCCACAACGAGGAGATCCAGCGCAAACTAGCAGAGCATCAGGTAATCACTGCAGCTCGCCTGACCGGAAAAAGCATGTTACGTCAGTCGCTTCTTTTTCATTCTTCAGTCAAATGAAAGCAGAGGCGAGGTTTCCGTTGACAGCAGTGTTTGTGTTGTCAAGACAACTACAGAGACTTTTAAAGATGGAGGAGAGACTAGCAATCGCTGTTTTGAGTTATCCAGAGCTGTATGACTTTACAAATATTGAATATTACAATATTATTAAATATTACAATCATAACAACATCGACAGCAATACTCACGCACAATACGCAGCTGATTCAGTCGTTTCCTAGTGACATAAAAATAGCACCGCTCACCTCTTTTTTTTCTTGTTAACAAAAAAGGCAGTGTGGTGCACCTCGCAGTTTTGGGGCGTGAAAGCGTGTTTGTTGTGATCGGCCCCTAAATGTGCAACACATATTTGTTTACTCGTAGGAAAATAACACGTGCAAACCAGCACTTGCTTCTGTCCTGGATCTGCTTCATAAACAAATAGGCTATTTATGATTTAGTGTGCAACCAACAAATCATCCTTTTTTCCATTTGGAAAATTACAGTTATTAATAGTTCTTTTAAAATATCCGTTTTCAAAATAGCCTAGCCTAATCTACAAATCAAACAAATCCAAACATTTTCTTGATTTTTGCAAAATGATAACTCCGCACCAAACTGAGGCTTTCATTTAACAGCTTATAAAACATTTATGCAATTGAATGCAATATCATATGTACACAATAGAATTGTCATATTATATAGAAGCCTATACTTTACTAAAAGTCAACATATGAGCCTTGTCGTTGTCTTTCATGACACGCAACACGCACACATGAACTGTGAGTGATTGAGGAAAACTAGGGAAAACCAGACGCTCAAGACATAATCTTTAATGACGTATATTAAATATGTTGATAGAGGCTTGTAAGATATGAATTAAAGTGGAGCATTAATTAAATGCATAGGCCTGTTTTTCGTGGAGCAATTGATTTGAAATTTTTATTTGACTAATGATTGGACAAACAGCCTATGCTGGTTCTGAAAAGGATTCAGTCAGTGTTTTTTGTTTTGTAAACTAAATTTGTAATTTAAGTGAAAAATAGCAAGGGCAGGACTATTAATTTATACTAATTTTATTTAGTTTATTCTTTTTTCTATGCTGTTGGAAACACTGCAGATGTGTGACGATGCTTAGTTGTTCTGTATTCTGTTGTTCGCATGTTAAAATAAATCAGTATTTTAAAATGCAATATTTAACGTGTCACACAAAATGGACACATCATTTTTTTTAAATTAAATAGTTTTATAGTAATCTAACCATTAATATTCGGTTAACGAGCGGCGGTTGTTGATTGGCAAAATTAACCGAAATGAGCATCTCTACTCTAGAGTGAAATCTGTTATTGTGGAGGTTGATATTAATACTTGTCTGTGTTTCCATTTACATTAAATCCAAAAATGCAACACTAAATACATCTCTGTTGGTAGGTTGGTAAGCTCTATGCACTGTCTTGAGCTGTTTGTGCATCAAAATAGAACTCTTTTTAATATTCACCACCCTTCCAAATATGGTCAAAGCCAACCAAATCATATAAGGGCTAATTCGAAGGCTGAAAATTCACCATTTTTAGAGAATTTTTGCAATTTCCTAAGCTACATACCTTCTGTTATATTAAACAGATTCTATCAACACATTTTATTGCACCTTTAATAAATACTGTAACAAATCTTTTGCTCATTGTATGTTAAAGTTTGTTGCTGCATAAACTAATGGAACCATATCAACTTACAGTTTTTTGGTATCTTCCAGAGTGTGATTGTGTTTGTGTCCTTCAGGACTTGCAGAGAGATATTGAACAGCACACAGAGGGTGTAGCGTCTGTTCTGACACTGTGTGACGTTTTGCTGCATGATGCGGACGCTTGTGGGAGTGATGGAGAGAACGACTCCATTCAGCAGACCACACTCAGCCTGGACCGCCGCTGGAGGAATATATGTGCCATGTCTATGGAGAGGAGAATGAGGTCAAAATCCACATATTTGACTGCATCTGTGTCTAAGTTCTATTAGTTTTTCTAACACCTGTACTCTATACTGTCCCCTGCAGGATTGAGGAGACATGGCGCCTATGGTGCAAGTTCCTGGACGATTATGCTCGTTTTGAAGAGTGGCTGAACACAGCAGAAAGAACAGCTGCCAACCCCGCCACCAAAGATGTGCTCTACACCTGTGCTAAAGAGGAACTCAAAAAGTTTGAGGTTTGATTCTTTTTAGTTCATCGTAGTGCAGTATATGAAATAACAGCAGAAGTACTATAGATAGTTCAGATGTAAATTTTGTATTTTGATTACCTGATGAATAGATTAACTGTTTTTTAAACATGCGCACATGCAGGCATTTCAGCGTCAGGTCCACGAGCGATTGACACAACTGGAACTGGTGAATAAACAATATCGGCGTCTGGCGCGAGAGAACCGGACTGATGGAGCCAGTAAACTGAAGCTGATGGTGCATGAGGGAAACCAGCGCTGGGATACACTACAGAAGAGAGTGGCCGCTGTGCTTCGCAGGTTAAAGGTCAGAAAATTACATCTGTTCATATGTCACAACATTAAGACCATCCTTTATTAAGAAGCCATTTATGTGAGATTGAAAGCTGGAGTAAGGATTGCTGAAATTCTTAAGTTTTGTAATAAAAATACACAAAATCTTGAAAAATGTTTCTCTTTTTATGTCAAGAACCACTGAACTCTAAAATTCCTGGATTGACCATTATTCAAGCATTTTAATTGAATTTTGTTATTAACAATCATGTTTAAACTCCAAGTTTCTGGGGATAATGTAAATTGCATTGCATGTTACATTAAAAGTTCCACCAAACTTTGAAATGTGGTGAAAAAATTATATATTTTTTATTTGCATTGCCTCATGGGACTGTTGTTATGTCCCTTAAATATATATGCATAAGGTTAAACTTTAGGGTTGTTTTACATATTGGCCACAAAAAGGCAAAAGCCCAACTAATAAGCAGTCGGAAAATTAGCTATACACAAATTTTTAAGTAAAAGACTCTGTAGTTTATGTAATAATTCATGTTTATACTACAAGTTCAGCTTGTCCACATTAATAATAAATTATATGTGTTCAAATATAAACAAGAAATTGTAAAAATCTTTCAGAATTTTGCTGTACCAGCTGTATATTTGATCAAATAAATGCAGTCTTTTTGATTAAAAAATTTTAGATTCCTTGAAACTTTTCTGAAACTACCCTTTTGAACTATGTCCTAAATATTAAGTTTTCGGATACTGGCTGGTTTGGTATTGGCACTTAATAAATGCCTGCAAAAATGTTAAAATTAATTGCATCTCTGACCTTCGAGCCTTTGTTACATAAATGTGCTCCGCTTTTCATTTCCATGATAAAAAATGGTACTTTTACCTCTGTAAAAGCTCAAATTTGCTCAAATGTTATAAAATGCTTTTCCTCTGTGCAGCACTTCACATCTCAGCGTGAAGACTTTGAAGGAACGAGGGAAGGGATTTTAGTCTGGCTGACTGAGATGGACCTTCAGCTCACCAATGTGGAGCATTTTTCAGAGAGCGATATCCATGAAAAGATGCGTCAACTAAATGTCAGTACCCTCTGTTTTTTATGTAAAAAAGTTTTATGAACTCTAAAAACTCTTTGGAGTCACACATTTTTTTTGGGCCTTGGAACATTTAAAAATGCTCTGAGGTTTGTGTTTATTTCAGGTAAAGGGATAGTTCACTGAAAAAGAACAATTCTGGCATCATTTACTCACCCTTCACTTGTTTCAAACCTGCATGATATTCCTTATTCTGTTAAATACAAAGGAAGATATTTTGAAGAATGTTGGAAACCGATATCTATTGACACCCATAATAAGATTTTAAAAAATGCAATGGAAGTCAATAATTATCATTCTTTAAATTATGTTGTGTTCAAAAGGTTTTCCAATCCCCCGAGACCTTCATTTATCTACATATGAAGATATTTTAGATGAAATCCAAGAGCTCTCTCATAGACATAGACAACAATAGTTATGCGAACATTAACCAAAAACATTGTCAAAACATTCCTTGTGACTTCAGTGGTTTAATGGTAATCAAAAAAGCTCCAAGGGCACTTTTGTATGACAAAAAAAAGGAAATAAGACTTTCATCTGGATCTTCTCTTCCGTGTCTGGTCAGGGTGTTCATTTACTATGAGCAGTACAAAGTATTGCCACTAGAGTCAGCAGCACAACATGCAATCATGGTATTCACCATGGTAAATGTGCTTCCTGACCTGATGCAGGAGATAATGGCGAACAATATAATGTTTACTCTTTTTTTTTTTTAACTTATGATTACAGTTGAACCACTGAAGTCGACCATGTTTTTGGTTTCCTTTCTAAACTTTGAACCTCTCAGACTGTTCCTGTCTATGGAAGGTCAAAGACCTCTGGGATTTCATCTAAATTATTTTAATTTGTGTACTGAAGATGAACGAGGGTGAGTAATTAATATTGGAACTGTCGTCTTTGCGTGAACTAATTCTTGAATTTTCTGAAAGGCTAGAAAATAAGGTACTAAAACATACAACTGGACTAAGAAATATGTCTGGACATATAGTGAGAATGAAGGACTATTGTGCTTTTGTCTTCCTGCAGGCATTTCAGCAGGAGATCACTCTAAACACTAATAAAATCGATGCTCTGATTGTGTTTGGAGAGAATCTGATCCAGAAAAGTGCTCCGCTGGATGCCGTGCTCATTGAAGATGAGCTAGAAGAGCTTCACTCGTACTGTCAGGAAGTGTTCGGCAGAGTCGCCCGATTCCACCATCGTCTTATCAGTAGACGCCCGGTCAGTTTCAAACACCAAACAAAGACTCTCAAGAATGAGTACTCAATTTAATTCAATCCCTAGGTGGAAATAGCGATTAAAGAAAATAATTAGCATAACTGCTGTTCATAATGTCTTTGAACAAGAGATATTACATGCCAATGTGAAAATGAAGTGCTATAAATGAAAATAGAAGTTATATATACAAACATAAAAAAAACATAGAAGTATTCCTAAAAAAATGCCTGGTGCATTATGACAGGAAGAGTGATGTCCTACGGGTGGTTTGTCAAGCCCACTCACCTACATGGAGCACACTCATGCATCCTACAGTTAGGTGATGCATTGTATATATGTTTACTAAAGAAAACTAGATCTTTAATTTAGTTTTGAACAGAGAGAATGTGTCTGAGCCTCAGAAGCTATCAGGAAGGCTATTCCAGAGTTTAGGAGCCGTATATAAGAAAGCTCGACCTCCTTTAGTGGACTTTGAATACTGATTTACCTCTTTAATCTCTTGGTTTTTTACAGGTTCTTGAAGAGGAGCGTGAGTTCTCGGACAGAGACACAGATCCGGAGGACTCTGCTGATTTCGGTGGGGTGTGGGAGAGGGAAAGAGAGGAAGAGGAGGCTGCCATGGGCTGTGATGTGTCGTTAACTGTACGTCAGGCTGTTTCACAGCTATTACCGCCTGCTTTGGAGCGCTCAGGCCGTGAGACGCCTGTCAGTGTGGATTCAATTCCGCTGGAGTGGGATCACACTGTGGATGTGGGAGGATCTTCTTCTCCGGAGGAGGATGAGGAGTTGACCTACTACAGCGCTCTGTCAGGTAACGCTTTACTGACTGATCTCTGACAATACTTTTCTTAGATCTCTCTGCGTGATGTATGAATAATACTGCATTTTAGAATACATTTTCACCTCTTGTGAAATTTGAATTCTTTAAAAATATTTCCCAAGTGCTGTTTAACAGAGAATATTTGTTCAACACATTATTAAACACAATAGTTTTAATAACTTATTTCTAATAGCTACTTTCTTTTGTTTTTTAATTTGATGACAGTATTTTAGTAGTTATTTTGCAAGGTACTAGCATTCAGCTTAAAGTGTTGCACTCACTTTTGGGGTTTACACTTACTTGAATTTAAATAGTAATTGTTCTTGAGCCCAGTGAGCTACAAACATAAATAAGGTATCATTGGAAAGAAGACACTTTGAGCTTTACTATGGTTCATCTAGAAAGTTTAAAAATATGAAGTTATACATTATGAAATAATGAAAAAGAAAAATTATACTGTGTTCAATATTTGTTTTTCCATATACAAGCACAGGAAAACATTTGTGTAATAAATAAGTAAAATATGCCTTGAAAGCCAAGTGTTTCATGAGTATATATTTCAAATTTATGAAGACAGCATGCAAAATAGGAATTCTGCAAATTGTTTTCTGAGATCATATCAGTGTCCTTTTTTTCCCCAAAAATCCCTGCCCAAAACTAAAACAGTAAGAGTTGCTGAATAATTTGGTCTACATTCACAGTTCATGTATCTTTGGAAAGAAGACACTTTAAGCTTTACTATCCATCATCGAGAGTTTATAATGAGAGAAACAAACAAAAAAAAAAAGTTAGAAATGCTTAAATCTAGGGTAGTTAGGTTAATTACTGTAGGTAAGTCATTATATATATGTATAAGTCATTATATATATCATTATATAAAAGCAGTTCACAGAAGATCACAACTGCATAATCAATTTATTTCTAGTAGCAAATCATTCAGAAAAGCTTTTTTTAACATATACTTTAAATATACTTTAAATATACTTTAAAATATAAAAAGAAAGTTGAAATTAAAAATATTTATTTAATGATATAAAATATGACATAAAATGAGCTTGCAGGTTTTTTTTTTTTTTTTTGGTTTTTTTGTCAACATTGTAAAAAACTAAAGCAGAAACTGAAAAACTTTTTTTCATTCTATGATGGACATTTTAATTGAAAAAAGTTTTCTCTCCCTCCTTGAAATTGACTGCATAATAACTGAACAAGCTATATGATTCAATGTTTATGATCTGTTGATAATATACAGTTAATCTTAATTTTCCTGTCTGTTGTTAGCTGCTGTTTCTCTTTCTGGATCCTTCTGTCTTTTATTTAACACCCTCTGTTAGAGGTGTAACGGATCACGGTTGGTCCGTGACCTTCACGGATTACAACCCACAGTTCGGAACGCATGTGAGCCGCGTATAAATAACTTTTTTGAACTTGTAGGTTAATCCAACATTTATAACAATTGCAGAGAGATTGGCTCCTGCGTCATTTAAAGCATTTTGGCTTCCCTGTCAAATAAAATGATGACGGAAAAAGTTGTGGTGGGACCTAAATGCTTTCTTAGGTTATTAATCAAAGTTGTTTTCTGTCACTGTTTGTTCAGCCTACATTAATGCATTCAGTGTAAAGCTGCACAATTAAACATTAAAAGATTGTGATCTCAATTTAAACCAGCACAACATTAATGATAAGGATTTGCATATGTTTATTAATCCTTTGAAGCGCTGCATTTAAATCTGCGTTTGATCGAGAGAGATTCAGTTTTTACACTTTTTCAGTTTGTTAAAAACAATCAAATAACACAAAAGTTCTGGAAGAACAGTTTATAGTTCAGATATGACACTGATGTTTATGGTAAAGATTAAAATCACTGTTTAATGAAACTTGACGCCGGTGAATGTTGTAGCAATTACCATGTGTAACCAATGGGTGGCGCCAAACAACCATCAAAATTATGTCACTGAATAGGTTTTCAGAAATGATCCACCTATAATGAAACATGAAGTTTTTTGTGTGAATTGTTGAATCATTAATTGAAAATAAATATGATATATTGTACAAGATGTTAGATTTCTATATTTAGAATTAACAGCTGCAAAGATAAATTTTTGTGTTGAATATTTTTCTTTTTTTCAGCTGCTTCTTTTTTGATTGAAATTTTTAATGAAATTACAGGTTCTAAGTTCTGTTTGTTAAAACTACTGGGTTTTGCAGTAATATTTTTTGTATAAATGGAAAGCAAATGGCATTTGTCTCTTCACTTTTTTGCTTATCTGAAAAATCATTATATCCGTGACTCAAAATCCGTAGTGTGATCCAAACCGGGAGATTTGTGATCCGTTACACCACTACTCTCTGTATCTGTTCTATCTCTATACCTGATTAGTCTAGATTATTCTGTGTCTTACGGTGTCTCTAGATCTGTGTCTGTCTGCCGCTCTTGTGTTCCAGATGTAGAAGTCACTGAAAGCTCTCAGTCTTATGTTAAAGCTACAGCTAAAGCTCTGAAGGCTGTGTCCGGTAGGCTTGAGCCTGCTGCATGCTGTCAGCATGTCTCATACATGTTTTAGCATGATTTACTTTTTTTACATACTTATAGTACACAAACCCAAATGCATACATGCTTGAGTCAATCATCTCCAAATAAAACCAACATTTTATGCATTCTGCTCACCTCTGTGCTGCTTAACAACTTCCTGTCTGCAGCAGCTGCTCATGTCATGCTCTTCAAATCTCCTGATGTTTGTTTTTGTGTTTGCCAAGAATCATCTTCAGCATGTGTTGTTCAGTAAGCGTTCACACAGATGTTTTTTTTTTTTTCATAACACGTGTTGGTTTTTGCGACCAGTGGACTCTTTTCACATTTCTACAGTCTTCAAAAGCAGATTTTGTTATAGCTGGGTAGACTTCTATTATTGTAATTGTGGAAATTTCATTCTGGGTTACCATTTTCTTCAATATGTAAAGACAAAAACCTTAGATGCTTTCACTGACTGTCTTAATAAGGGGGGAAATGGTTTACTCTGTACTTGAGAAGGGTGTTCATAAAACTGACATGACACTTTCATCTTAAAGACATGACAAAGTTCAAGTTACCTTGAACAGTGCAGAAGCGCAATTATCCCCCCTCCCCTCTCCCCCAATGGCCTGCACTCACACTGCATCTTTACCTTCCGAACCTGAGCACACTTACACCCCATTCACACGGGGTGTCAGCGTCAAGGCTTACCATTCACTTTGAATAAGTGACGTCAAGCGTTGCCAAACTGCATTGTGGATCCGTCTGCACTGCTTCAGAGGCGTTGCTCGCTGCAGAAGTTGGGACTAGCTCAACTTTTCAAGTGCTGGCGGAAGTGTCAGCCAATCAGTTTGCTGTATGCAAATACAACAGCTAGACAGTGGCCTATTGGGGACTGATTTTCATTGGCTGACACTACTATGACGATCCCGTTAGCCCCAACTTCAGACACGCTTTCAGTCAAGCGTTGACGCTGAAGCCCCGTGTGAATGGGGCGTTACATCATCGATGATTACTGTACAATTTAACAGGAAGAGAAGCACTCTCGCTCAGCAAAATGGACATTGCTTTAGTGTTATTGTTTTGCATTATTTTTAGTCATTTGAGATGCAGTGACACAGTGTCAAATATTTTGCCGAACTGATCCACTATGTCAGGTTTGCTGAAGGTGACAGCTGACATGCAGTGAGGGGTTTGCATTTTTAATAAACCACAGCAGTTTGCATTCATTGAAAATGATCAATAAATCCATATTAAATCCGTCTTCAGTTTCGGGCTCAGGCACACTTTGCACTCACACTACAAGAGCGTATTAAAGTCCAATCGAACCTTGCTCTGGCACACCTCGTCCAACGGACAACTGAACTGTGCCTGGACCCGATTCACACTTGTCAAACGAACTAGGAACTGCACCTGGGCACAGTTTGGATAGCATAGTGTAAGCGCACTATGCGAAAATGTCATTTGCTCAGTTATGTTATTTTAAATGCAAAGATGACATTGTTGTTGACATAAACAAATACATCATGACATTTCATTGTGTTTGTCATGACAATTTTAAATTATTTTAAATTAATACAACAAAACCTGTCGATGTCTTTATGACAAGTTGACAATAGAAATTGTCACACAAGATGTCGTACTGATGTGGACAAAATTGTTGGTACACTTCCACTGAATAATGAAAACCCACAGTGCTCACTGTTAGGTTAGGTTAAGTTAGGTTAGGTTAGGTTAGGTTAGGTTAGGTTACTTTTGGTTACTTTATTCATACCCGAAGGTAGATTTGGTTTGCATTCAAGAGTCCTCATCTCATAACAGTCCCACACAAAGGAACTCACATAGTAACAACAACAATTGAACATTAAGACATAAAACGTAAACATAAAACACTTATAAAGAATAAATTAATAATCACCACTTCAAGTGCCCCCCCCCTCCCCCAAATAAATGTTTATAATGATCTAAAATATACAAGTCACCGAAACATCTCTGCTTTAGTCTATGCCTTATTTAAATGTCTAATGGCTGCTGGTATGAAACTATTTTTGTATCATTTTGTTCTACAGCTTAATACTAGAAACCTGCGACCAGAAGGACGGAGTTGAAACTCTGAGTGTAGGGGATGAGCAGTGTCACTTAAAATGGAATTTGTGATTCTCTTTAGCTGCCTGGTGTACACAGCCTCTAGATTGGCTAGTGACACCCCGGTCAGCTTGCTGGACCACTTTACTATTTGATTTAGTGAGTTTTAGTATTGACAGAGAGATTCCCAAACCATGACACCAAAGCAAAGGATAAAATGGATTCAAGAAAAGCATGGTAAAATAGAGTCGTCATGTGTATATCAATATGGAAATGCAACTGAAAACTGAAACAACCTGAAACTGAAAAAAGTAAGGATTAATCAAAAATGACTGAAAATGGAGGAATGAAAATTAGATATTGCTTTCGGATTGTGGTTCAGAAGCATTAAAAAAAGGCAAACTAATGAAACAGTTCTGCATAAAACTGAACGCTACCATCAATTTTGTCTGTTTCTGTAACTTGATATAGCAGATTAATGATCAAACTCAAGAAACTACTTCCCTTTATGGTTTAACTTTACATTAAACTGTCATAGAGTTGGTTTTGAAATTTTGTTAGTGGAAAAAAAAATTATTTGTCATTAAAATGTCTCATTAAAAGTGTTAATGCTAGTCATTTTATATCAGCGTCATTAATATATATTTTACCTCAACTACAGTGGTACAAATTGAATTTGTCATTATGTTCACAAAATCTTCTACCAAATACATTTTTAAGTGTCATAAATCTGTATTATTTCATAATGTGTCCTCTAACAGAAGGTCGGATAATAGACCATTAAAATGTTGTATAAAAGATGATCAGGTGCTAGAAAGATAAATTCAATTGTCTAATAAAAATAATAATCATTTAAAGCACTTTATCTTTTCTTAGTGACTGGTTTGTCATTGACAAAGACATGTAAGGTTTAAGTTATATTTGTTTAAGTCAAGTTATTATCTCAAGACATCTCAAACAATGTTATCTTTACATATTATTATTTACATTTACATATTATTATTTACATATATTACTTGCATAAGCCCTCCATATTCATGACGTGTGTCATGTTGTGATTATAAAGGTGTCAAGACAGTCTTATAAACAACACTTCAAGTAAACTGTTACCAAAAAAAATCTTACCGTTGATAATGATGGTCATAAGTACATACTCTATGGTGGTCAGTATAGCAATGTGGAAACTGCAGCAAATTAAATTTTTGTAAACCAGTTCATCTAATAAAATAGCAAAAATGTATCCAAAATATTATTTTTATGATTTTCGAAAAGAGGAAAAAATGTTGAGAGCTTAATTAAAAATAATGATATCATTAATTAAAGATATCATGAAGGGATGGGAAGTTTATTTCCATTAAAACAGGGTCACAAAAAATTGCATAAACACTGAAATATTACATAAAAAACTGTAACTAAGCAGTAGCATCTATGGAAGAGTACCATCGCAGAATGTGAAAAGATTCCATCACATCCTAATTTTCATTTTTTCTTGTTTCGGTAGCATGCTCTGCAACTGACTGATGAATTCCCAACTGTTAGGTTATGTCTGATATTATGAGTTGAAATATTTCTGTGTCTGTCTGTTATTCAGGAGGAAGGTCAATGGTGGAGACGTGGCATTCTCCTGATGCGCCAGACAGAAAGCGAGCGAATAGAGAGATCATACTCAGCCTCACATCTTCCCCCATTGACACCAGTGCACAGTACCATCCACAGGCCTATGTGAGAACATTTTCATTTCAGCCACTTTCTCACATTCTATAGAGGCAGGTTTACCATTTTGGGGGCCCTAAGGAAAAGTGAGGATTTTCTTTCGAATCGTGCAACAGTAATATTGAGTACATAGAATTAAATGAGACCAAAAAAACTGCACAGAATTCTCTAGTTTGCCATAAAAATTATACTAATAAAAAAGTGATGATAATAATAATAATAATAAAGTGTCTATTTTTATACAAAATGATAGAGTCCTTGAAGTTCTTGGTTTTATCTTGAGCAGTTTTGTCCATTGTATAAACAAATTATCCGTATTTTCTCTCAATTATTTTTCTTTTTGTAACAACAGTCCGTGCTGAAACAGTGATTTGCCACAAATTTGGGAAAAGTTAAAATGCTTTTTTATTGGTCTCATTTTGACAAAAGTAGTTCCAGATGGAGTGGCATTTTCCTCCTCTTCAAACTTGTAATGTTTATTTTTAGCTGAGTTGAAAAATGCTTCAAGCTTTGCCAAACTATTTGACAAATTCTATTTGATTTCCTCTCTCTTTTTTTGTTGTTTAAGTGCAGCTTGGACTTGCATGCTCACTGTAAAACACAATAAGTTACTTTACTTAAAGAAAGTAAACGTATAGCTATAAAATCAACAAGTTGACTTTACTTAAAAACGTAAGAAAACTTGTTGCGACTTGGAATTGTTAAATTGACTTAACTTAATTGTCATAATTATATACATAAATGTCTTAATTATTTTAAGCCAGTAGATTTACTCACCAAAGTAAAGTCATCTAATCGCATTAAAATAATTGCATTAAAACGGGTTTACTCACTTTTTTAAGTATAGTCAATTAACTACTTTAAAAGCAACAAGTTTACTCACTTTTTTAAGTAAAGTCAACTAATCGCTTTAAAAGCAACGGGTTTACTCACTTTTTTAAGGAAAGTCAACTAATCGATTTAAAAGCAACGCGTTTACTCACTTTTTAAAGAAAGTTAACTAATCGCTTTAAAAGCAACGGGTTTACTCACTTTTTTAAGGAAAGTCAACTAATCGATTTAAAAGCAACGCGTTTACTCACTTTTTAAAGAAAGTTAACTAATCGCTTTAAAAGCAACGGGTTTACTCACTTTTTTAAGGAAAGTCAACTAATCGATTTAAAAGCAACGCGTTTACTCACTTTTTAAAGAAAGTTAACTAATCGCTTTAAAAGCAGCGGGTTTACTCACTTTTTTAAGGAAAGTCAACTAATCGATTTAAAATCAACGCGTTTACTCACTTTTTAAAGAAAGTTAACTAATTGCTTTAAAAGCAACGGGTTTACTCACTTTTTTAAAGTATAGTCAACTAATCGCATTAAAAGGAACAGGTTTACTCACTTTTTAAGTAAAGTCAACTAGTTACTTTAAAAGCAATGGGTTTACTCACTTTAAGGAAAGTCAACTAATCACCTTTAAAGCAACGGGTTTACTCTCTTTTTTAAGGAAAGTCAACTAATCACTTTCAAAGCAGGAGGTCTACTCACTTTTTTAAAGTCAACTAATCGCATTAAAATGAACGGGTTTACTCACTTTTTTAAGGAAAGTCAACTAATCACTTTAAAAGCAATGGGTTTACTCACTTTAAGGAAAGTCAACTAATTACTTTAAAAAGGTAATGGGTTTACTCACTTTTTTTAAAGTAAAGCCAACTAATTGCTTTAAAAGCAACAGGTTTACTCACTTTAAGTGATGTCAACTGCACATCAAGTTCTATGCGATTCTGGATATTTATCTATGTTAATCCTGGAACATCATTTTTGTTTGAAAATGTAGTCCATGCCTATTTTCTAACCCTAAACCCAACCAAAACTGTAAATTATTCCCAAGATCAGAAGTGAATAATAGTTGGATAACAATTGTGTAGAAGTGTATAAACCTAACTATAAGCCTAAACTTAACATAAATGGTAAACATATCCCTTAATTCTGATTGGCTGATTGGAATGTTGTTCCAGGATCAACATAGATCTTAAACCAGGAACTTGTCCTACTTGGTGAAATCTGTTTGGCTAAAGTCAACAAATCACTTTAACAGCAACAGGTTTACTCATTTTTTTCAAGTACAGTCAACAAATCACTTTTTTCCAGTGTACATTATTGTTTCTTTCCATTTATTTGCACTACATATTCATTAATGATGTCAAAAACTATCCTCAAATGCAGTTAACCATTTGTGTACAATCTCCCAATTTTTATGCTGGGTAAAGCACTACTCCACACAGACAGTATAATGTTGTACTTTGTCTCTCCAGGATAAACTGATGTCCGAGTGTGCGGGCAGTATAGACAGTATAAAGCGAGTCAAGCTGATTCTGAATGAGGATGAACAGCTGGAGGATCAGGGTCTGACGGGCTTCAGTGCAGCAGATAACACAGGTACTGCTGATTACATCAAGCACACACACACACACACACACACATAAGCAAACACACACCTTTACAGAGATTTATGGGCTAATTTTTTAAAGATGGTCTGTGTTCAGGTGTGATCGAGCGGTGGGAGCTGCTTCAGGTGCAGTCGTCTCGCGTCCCGCAGGATCTTCAGCACTGGCACAGACTGAACTCTGACCTCTCTGACATTATGGTATGGCTGAACGCTGTGATGCCTGAACTGGAGACATTGCAGACTCTAGAGGCCAAAATCACCATCAGAGACATGGAGAGCAAGATCCACAAACTGAAGGTATATCAAGACATTAAAGTTCATTAAGCAAAAAGAAGCCATTCAGGCTCAGCTATTGTATTGAGTGCTTTTCGATTTTGTCCAGGCCAGATTTATTAGGTTGCCTTTTATTAATGCTTCTGTTAAACCACAATTTAAAAAGCAATATCAGATTTTTTTTAGTTTGTTGTCATTTTTAATTAATCTTTACTTTTTAGTATCAAGTTGTTTTATTGACTGCAGTAGATTTTTCTAATAGCAACAATTTTGTCCATGTCTGTACATACTCATTATATCACATTTTTATTGTTTTTAACTTTTATTGTTTGTTCTTGCTCAAACTTAGAAAAAACTTTATAACTGATCCAAGGTCAAAAATAACAATTGTATAAATATAACCTCCTTCATATAAATTTCATAATATAAAAAAAATTATAAATGGCATTTATAAAATAAAATCTTGTAGATGCATCATATTTTAAAGTCAATTCAAGAGTTCACACTTAGATATTGTTTGACAACTGTTAGCAGGTTTGGCAAGCTGTCCCGGGAGAGAACCCTGAACTCGGAGATAGTTGAGCCCAGGGCTCCCGCCAGGTCCATAGAGCATGTGAGGGGAGTACGAGATCAGGTGGTTCTCGAGAGCTCCCCTGTGGTAAAGGAGGAAAGGAGGAGAAGGGGTGGATGGGGGGTTTCATCGAAAAACGAAGATAAGGTAGTCGGTCTAGCTAGGCTACTTATAGTGAGTTAGGATTAATCTGATTGGCTAACTAATGAATTTAGATGGGTGGCCAGCTGCAGTCAATCATATCACATGCTCCTCTTGAAATTAGTTTATAAAACTTCACTTAATCTTATGAAATGTTTCCTGAGCATCAAATCTTACAATGATTTTAAAAGGATCAAGTGACAAAACTAGATACTAAAATATCGCCTGCCTAAAATTCACCTTTGAAATATATACAGATATATATCTAAAATATCTTGCACAATATTAAACCTTTAAACCTCTCTTGTAAAAGTATCATCTGTCTTGTGTGTATATAAGTATATTAAAGTTTATATTAGTTATGAGTAGGTTTTTTTTTTTTAAATAGCTCGTATGTCCAGTGTTGTGTTTGTATTTATGATTAATTTATGTAGCACTGTTGTCCTGCGAGACACAACATTTTGTTCCTCTGTTAGTCCACACAGAATGATAATAAAGCTCGACTTGACTGGACTTGATTAATATAATAGAATTGAAAACATTTATTTTCTATTTTCTACAATATCACTCTTTTAATTGCCATTAACAAGACCAAACATAATAGAATATAACACAGAATAAAAAATTACAGACTATCTTTTTTTCGTTTTTTTAACTTTCCCATTATCCCCTTAAAATAAAATTAAATTAAATTAAATCAAAATTTAATTAAAAACTCAGATAATCTCTAAAAAAGAGAAAATAAATCAAATAAATGAATTAAGCTAGGTTGCAAATAAATGAGTGTATAAGAGTACTAGTATAATATCACTTTATATTCTCTATTTTTATCAAAAAAAATGCAGCTTTCTAAAGTATTTTACAAGATCATACATAATATAACACTAGTTTTCATAATTAGAGTTTTTTTTTAACCATACACCAATGCCCTATCATACGGCTCAAGGCGCAACGCAATTGTTGTTTGCTACTTTCAGCTTGGCGCAAGAGTCGTTTTGATGTTTTGTGTCACGCTGTTTAAATAGCAAATGCATGTGCATTCATATGTGCGCCCATAGGCGTTCTGGTATAAAAAAGGATGCGTGTTTAGGCGCATTGCTGGCGCTTTGCTATTTTGAGGAACTATAATAGACTGTTCAATAGACCGGATCAAAGCCAGTCTATAGACCAGCGCAGAGCGCGTTAGTGGTGCGCCTCACTTACACACTGCTTAATACACACAAGATGTACAGCAATACAAAAATATATTTACAAATGAAAAAGGATTAAAATATTACCACAATTATATGCGCATATAATTATTAAGCGCATAATTTGCGCTTAACATAATAAATTAATTATTTATAGGCTAAGGGATGTCTGTGCGTACAACAAGTTTTCATTTCCAGGAGAGTGAAAGCGAAAGTAAAGAATAAAAAAAGCTAATTTCTCATTCTCGCCTGTACATGCTGTTTTCTTGCTAGTAAAGCATTCAGATTTTCCACTTACAAAGTCCGTCATGTAAATAGCAAATGCGCTATGGTGCAACACAACTGACTCTTAAAGGGAATGGGAGATGAGACTCTGATTGGTTTATTTTAAAAACACACCTATAACTCCTTAAGAGAATAAGCTCAACCCTTTTAGACCATGCGCCACAGCGCAAGGCGGTTTTTCCATCCTTAAAATAACAAAAGTGGATTCTGACACACCCTTAATGCTTTTGCGGCCTGCACTTTGGACTTTGCGCATGGATAGTCAAAATAGAGCCCCTAGTGTTTAAAGTAGGAATATACTGTAAAAGTTGTCATGTTGTCTTTTTCTCTATCATTAGGATATGCAGAGAACTTTCAATGGCTACAAATCAGTTATGATCGGTGTGAATCTCAGCGGACGGAGCTTCCAGCACGGTGACAGCGCTGAACTCCAGGAGCTGCGTGAGACTCTCCAGCGGGTCAATCAGAAGTGGACTCAAGCCTGTGCGGCGCTAGACAGCTGGGAGCATCGCCTGCATCGAGCACTCATGGAGTGTCAGGTCAGGAAAACAACCTCAGTTTATTTAATGTTTGATTAGGGTTTAATTTGACTGTCAAATTTTAGATTTTATGTTTTATATAAACTGTTAAAGTAAGAATTTTTAGCCCTCCAGAGTTATTAGCCCCCCTGTTTATTTTTTTCCCAATTTCTGTTAAATGAAGAGAAGATTTTATCCACACATTTCTGATCAATAATTTTAATAACTCATTTCTAAAAGCTGATTTATTTGATCTTTACCATGATGACAGTAAATAATATTGGACTAGATATTTTTCAAGATACTAGTATTCAGCTTAAAGTGCCATTTAAAGACTTAATTTGTTTAATTAGGTTAATTGGGCAAGAAAGTGTAGTCAGTGTATAACAATGGTTTGTTTTGTTGACAATAAAAAAAAATGCTTAAAAGGGCTAAAAATTTTTTTTTTAAATTAAAAACTGTAAAACGTAATAAAACAAATAAGACTTTCTCCAGAAGAAAAAAATTATTATAGGAAATACTGTAAAAAAAAAAAATAGGGTGAATAATTGACTTCAACTGTATGTTAATTTCAAACCTGTTAATCTATTGATTACACATTGGGATTGGGCTGACATTAGGGTTGGGTATCGATTTAGATATCTTGATTCGATTTGATTCAGTTTTGGTACTTGATTTGATTTAGTAAATGTAGATTTAAAGGGATAGTTCACCCAAACATAAACATTTTGTCATCGTTTTACTCACCCATGACTTGTTTCAATCCAGTTTGAGGGTTTTTGTTCTGTGGAACATAAAACAATGTGTTTTGAAGAATTTTGGAAACCTGTAACCATCGACTTCCATGGTTGGAAAAATAAATACTATGGAAGTCAATGGTTTTAGGCTTTCCACATTTTCGCAAAAAAATGGTTTGGGACAAGTCAAGCATGAGTAAACAATGTCAGAACTTTCTTTTTAGGGTGAACTATCCCTTTAATGCAAATATTAGTGATATTTTTAAAAACAAATTTGGTTACATTAAAACAAAATATAGATATATAGAAACTGACAGGTAAGTTTACAATTAACAGGGTCTTAAAAAGTCTTTAAATATCTAATATTTCTAATAAAATCCTTACATTTGTTGAAATATTGGGTCATAGGTCTCAATTTTCCTATGTCCATGTAAAGTTGCCCAGTCGGCCCAAAACCCATCCAAACATCAGCAATGCAAGTCAATGAAATTTTTATCAAAAGTTATATTTTTTACTTTTTACCTCTATGGTTTAATTACCATCTTTACAATAACATTTGTTTCAAAGTTCTCCATGTATTTATACCTACCTGGTGATGACACTGACCTGGGGTGCATTTCCCAAACATCGACATAATTCGCGAGTGAACTATAATAGTAAGATGCATCATTTGGGAAAAAAATGATGTAGTGACGAGTGTTTCCCAAAAGCCCCTAGTTTCTCTGTCGCAGATTCATTGTTTGAACCTCATTATTTTTATTGTAAAACGCCCATAATGATGCTCTAAATGGGGTGGAGTAACAACTACTTTAGAGAAGAACCCCATCATTTCTTTGTGCAAATTATATTCTTTTACAAGCACACACATTTAAAAAAAAATTCCAATATTACTTTTGGTAAAAACATGCACTCTTTTTCAATATTAAATGAAATATAAATAAACAGCACATATAGAACCTGTGTTCCTTTTGGAATAGAACAATACATTATATTCTAAAACATAAAATCAATTACAAAAGCTATTATAATATCATATATAAATCATATAAATAAATAAATAAATAAATAATGAGGCTTTATTAAGAAATGTTTTTTATAATTATTATTTATTATAGGAAAAGAAAAAAATCATACATTAATATTGATACTATTAATGATAATGATGATTGTTATTATTATTATTATTATTATTAATTAATTCTTTTTTAATTAATATTATTATTATTATTCATTCATTTTCTTGTCGGCTTAGTCCCTTTATTAGTCCAGGGTCACCACAGCAGAATGAACCGCCAACTTATCCAGCATGTTTTTACGCAGTGGATGCCCTTCCAGCCGCAACCCATCTCTGGGAAACATCCACTCTCACTCATTCACACACACACTCATACACTACGAACAATTTAGCCTACCAAATTCACCTGTACCGCATGTCTTTGAACTGTTGGGGAAACCAGAGCACCCGGAGGAAACCGAGCAGGGAGAACATGCAAACTCCACACAGAAACGCCAACTGAGCCAAGGTTCGAACCAGCGACCCAGCGACCTTTTTGCTGTGAGGCGATAGCACTACCTACTACGCCACTGCGTCGCCCTATTTTTATTATTATTATTATTATTATTATTATTATTATTATTATTACTATTATTATTTTTTTTTTTATTATTATTACTATGTAGGATATTGTTTATTTATATTTTATATAAACTATGTTTATGCCAGGAACTATGTTTCTAACTACAGCTTCAGAGATGTAGTTGCAAGCATACAAGTTTGCGAAGCAGTTTTCGAATGTTTGTTGGAACAATGTAATTGGGAAACGCCGAATCAACAAACTATGTTTGTAACGAGGGAACTTGCAACTTAATGTGGCTAACGATGGTTTTCGGAAATGCATCCCTGGACAGACTGTTGTGCATACATTTGGTTTATTAGAATTATTTAAACTTTAAAAAATATATATATTAAGAAGCAAATCAGAATTTTTATGGGGCAAATACTTTTCCAAAAATCCTCCTTAGCCATCTGCAATTTCATTCCTAATGGTTCTTAAAAGGCCATAAGTCTTAAATTTGACTTGATGAGCCCTGTAGTAACCCTAGTTAAAACTAATTTAGACTATTTAGAACCATATAATGACAGTATATCAGCACACTTAAACCCCTGGAGTACAGAATATTTAAAAAAGTATCCACAAACTTTGAAAACAATTACTTAAAATATCTTCTTTTTTGCCCAACCCCAGCCAACAAGTACTTGCAAAACTACTTACAGTCATTAAAGGTCTATTTACGACTTATTAAAGTAAATTGTTAGGAGATACTAAGCAGACAGTCTACCGATACTCTAATGACTGCTAATTGCTGTGTGGTTGCAAATTTACTTAGTCGACAGAATGTCTTAATCATAAGATAAAGTGTGACTGAATGATTGAATGTTTGTTGTGCAGCCATACAAATATTTGGCATGTCATATTTCAGTGCACATTCACACGTTTGCACTTGTCTGCACTGACTTTCTGGGTGCTTGAAGATTTTATCTGAGTATACAAAACCACAAAAGGGATGTTTTGGTTGCTTGTGTATAAAGGTTGCAGAAATGTTAGGTACATGTTGTTCTTGAAACCACAGCTTACCGTGACCGAGTCGTATCAAAGGTGTTCTCTTGAATGCGAGTGTTTCTAAAAAAACAACTTTCACTCTGCTTTTAGTTTGAACGGTCAGGTGAGTTTTCAGTCATATTTGCAAAACATTTAGTCACAAATGAGGATTTAGTATCACATTACAATAATGGTTTATTTGTTAATGTTAGCTATTGTATCTAATAACATTAAGTATAAATGATCTTGAGTGTATGGATGTTTCCTAATTCTGGGTTGCTGCTGGAAGGGCATCCTCTGTGTAAAACATACACTGGAATAGTTGGTGGTTCATTGCACTGTGGTGACCCCTGAAATAGAAACTAAGCTGAAGTAAAATGAATGAATGAACAAACAATCAATGTTATTAAATTTCAGCGTTATTAAAATAAAAAATTGTGCTTGTCAACGTTCGTCGATGCACTGTAATTTAACATGAACTGGCAATGTTCATTGTTTGTTCATGTTAGTAAATACTAGTTGTGGGCCGTTATCGGCGTTAACGTGCTGCGTTAATGCAAGACTTCTATCAGGCAATTGTAAAAAATATTGTCGTTAATCTATTCTCACAGTTGGGTTGGGAGCTGGGTCTATTCTACGCAAGCTGTGAAGACGTTCACCTTGATTATATGATGCTGATACAATATATACCTGGCCGAATTGCACTGTAGGGGGCGAGAACGAGTCTTCAAACCTGTGTGCATTCCTAAAGTGAAATTACTACGTGCTAACATGGATGCAGTTCAGTAGAGTGAATCTGATTAATGTTAGCTCCACATCTAACTATCAGGCACCTGTAGAGTTTATACTTTCGAGTAAAACATATACAAATAAAATAGACCAGGGGCCTCATGTACGAAGACTTGCGTGGAAATCTTACTAAAACATTGCGTACGCACAAAGCTGTAAATGTGCGTACGCAGAAAAAAATTCAGATGTATGAAACACTGCGTACGCCGAATCTCACGCATATTCTTTTGTACATCTGAATGAACGTAAAACTGAGCGCAACATGCACGAGCACAAAACCCCTCCCTGCCTCCTCCCCCGTATGAATATGCTAATGACTATGCTAATGGCAAAACCCAACGAAAAAGCAATGGCAAAAGCAAGCAAGAAGAGAAACTTTGAACAGAATGTGAATTGGAGGTGCTGCTTTTGGAGGTAGACCGGAGAAAAGCGGTGTTATTTGCAAGTTTGTTCTCCGGAATTAACAACAAAAGAAAAAAATAGAGTGGGAGAGTTTAGCTGATGCAGTTAACACAGTTGGGTCTGAACATCGCACTGAGTGCATTTAAAAAAGAAATAGTGTGGTTTATATCTGTAAAATGTTGCAGCACCCTTAGCAGTCTCAGTGGCGCACCTCATAAGAAGCATGTAATCATGAACTGACATGTTCAGGCATAAACTCGGCTCGAATCCAGCGTCCGATTAACTCTTTCTTCTTTTTTTCCCCGCTACATATCAGATTTTGCCCACTATTTATCAAGAGAAAGACAAGTAGGAATCATCAATAAGTTTGTGCATCATATTTTATATGCACATTTATTGAATGGAAATGTTTCTGATTCACGCATGCAAATTCATCTTTTGATAGTGTCTTTATAGCAATGTGCGTGCAGTAGATAGTTCAGATTACATTGGGAAAACAGGCGACTGCTGCAAATTGTGCTTTAATGTTTAGCTGGTCAACTGTATGGTATGGAAATCTTACATACCTACTATATGAACCCGTCTCATACAGCTGCCATTGCAAGGATCAGACACTTTGTAGAGAAGAATTTAACACAACTGCCTCTAGGAGTCGCCAATGGAAATAAAACAGACACGCACAAAAAATGTGCGTACGCCTGCCAAAAAGCTGCCGTGAACCTGCACACATTCCCACGTTCAGTTCATTGTTAGTAAATCCAAACGTGAGCGATTCTGAGCGTGAAACCTGGCGTACGCAAAGTTTTTGTGCGTACGCAGCGTTGATACATGAGGCCCCAGGTGCTTTTAAAAAATTTTTTTTTTAAATTTCATTCATGCCCCCGTGACAAACTGGGGTATTAGACACAAATTAGTAGTAAGGACTGGTGGGAGTGTTATGGAATTTGATAACACACGGATAATGGAAAGAAAAAAACTTCAGCATTTCGCGTTTAGTCATTATTTGGGTAGCACACATGTTCTGTATGCCTTCGGCAGAATTCAAATGAGCCATTTTAATCTAGATAATTCTAGATTCATTCCAAGATTACAGTGAGATAAATCTAGATAAAAAATGTATCTACCGAATGCCCACCTATAGTAAATACATGTTCAACATTTTCCTGTAACCTTCTGCTTTTTCTAAAAATATCCTGGGGCTATGTATAGCAGGATTAGCTTGCTAACCAGTTAATTTTTAATTTAGTTTGCACCAAAGATGGGTTTTAGGTAAGATGATTGCAGCTCGACTTCTTTCAAAATCATTCTTTGTTGCTGTGGTATTTGCTCAGCTGAGCTGTTTTAATGGTAGCTAAACCCAGAAATGGTGCACAATAAACTGAAACGTAAGTGGCTAGCCAGCTAATCTGGCTTCATTTAACATACCTCTGGTCTAAACTGAGTAAACACAAGCAGCATGTTATAAACACAAGCTCTGGTGTTATGTTTATCTATTTGTGCAGGAGTTTCACGAGACTCTTCACTCTCTGCTGCTCTGGTTAGCTAAAGCTGAAAGCCAACGCTACATGGTGAACATCCATGACCAAAACACAGACCTCAACATCCTTCAAGAGCATCAAGACACACTCAAGGTATGTTTTTCGACAGCTTCTGATCTTATTCTGAAATATCCTTACAAAATATGATAAAAAATGCATTTGTTGATTTATAGCAATAACTATAAATTGATAGTTCACCGCAAAATGAAAAAAATGCTCACCGTTTACTATAATTAAGAGAGTTTCTTTTTTCTGTTTCATCAAACAAAAATGTCCAACTTTCTTTACAATATCTTGCTTTTTGTTCAATACTGTTGGAGAATGGTTTCCTGAATCTGATTTGATCATGGTTGCTGGTATTAAAGGGATAGTTCAGCCAAACATGAAAATTCTGCCAGCATTTACCTTCACTTGTTCAAAACCCTTATGAGTTTCTTTTAACACAAAAGATATTTGGGAAAATGCTGGTTGCTGGCACCTGTTGACTCCCATTATATTATTGACTATTGAAGTCAAAGAGTGCCAGCAAATTAGCATTCTTCAAAATATCTTCTTTTGTGTTTAACTGAAGAAAGAAACTCACATTAAAACCACATGAGGGAGAATAAATGAGGTCATTTTCAATTCTGTGTGAACTGTAATGTCTTCATTCACATCTATCAGGAATAGTTCACACAGGAATGAAAATTACCCCATAATTCACTCACCTTCCAGCCATTATGGGTGCATGTGACTTTTTTCTGTCAGATGAACACTGTCAGAGTCATTTTAAATTTTATCCTGACTCTTCCACGCTGTATAATGGTGTTGGATAGTAACTTTTATTTTGAAGCCTCCAAAAAGCACATAAAACCATCGTAAAACTAACACATAGGCCATCAGTGGGTGATTTGTAGTCTTTTTTTTTGACAAAGAAGTGTAAAAGTTCAAGTAAAAGACTCAGACTTTTGGTGGCGACTGAATTTATGTTATGCACGACTGAATATATTAGATATTAGATGGATTCGCAGCAGAAGCTTCAGGAACTGACAGGTCTTTCAGGAACCAATTACCACACAGTTTGTTCATCACAGAAAACGATGAACTTGAAATCTAAACATGAAAATGAGTTTGGCTCAAACCGCTTGTAGGATACAAAAAAAAATTATTATTTTGTTATTGTTGATATTGTTTTCAAGGTCCCGAGTAGGGGTTTGAACCTGCACTGGTTTTACAGTTTGGATCGGTTTCGATCATCATACCATCAATTCAGTTCAATATGATATCTCAGTGCCTCAAGGTGCATTGACGAAGCTTTACATAAACAGTTTAATATTTTACTTAGCAACAAAAATAATTTATTAATTTATTAATATATTTATATTTATATATTATTTGTTATACAATTTTGTCCTTTAATACAAGCAGTCAGATGAACAACCTGTAGCTTTAATTTTACTTGCTCAGAGAAAACACTTTTTTAAATCTGTCTAACAAAAGTCAAGTACATGCACTGAACAACATAAGCATTTATAGCAAATAAACAAGTGTAAATAATATCCTGCTTGCTTTTTGAACACTGTTGAGCGAGTTCTTAAATGCTTATGATTGGTCAAGTGCTTAACAGAAAAGGCTGCAATTGTTTCTAATAGTCAGCGCTGCTCTGGCGCTGTTCAGCAAACAGTGGCACAAACACTGATGTTAAACGGCAGCGGCAATCAGCTGATCCATTATAGAAGGCGACGGAGTGGAGAAAACTTGCTCTGCAGACACACTGGTGTCTGTATCCACAAGTAACGGTATTGTTGTAACATCCGAGAGAGGATATAAAATGTTACCTCACGAACACGCCAGCAGGTCAAAGAGGCCACAGAGTAAGAGGAGGGAGGGAGAGAGCGTTTACAGCTTTTATTTTTGCTTTTGCTGGGTTCTGATATACTTCCCTGTCAGTGAAAGGCTGTCCAGCAAACTGACAAGCAGGGAATTATGCACAGTTATCTGCTTTTAAGGTAGTAATTACTTGTGGTCTTCTCCCTCACCATAGTAAGCCATATGATGCATACTGTATGTGATAAATGACATCACAACATAACCGGTTATGATTATTACTGAACCGTTACCGAATTATTCGCGTCTGCATCACAGTGCATTGAAGAAACAATTAATTTAGATCCTCCTAGTGCCAAGTGGTTGTGTAAACTTTTCACTGCATATCAAACTGTGTATGACTCTGTACTGTATGTGAATTTGAATTTACTGTAATATGTTATACAGTATATTACTCTTACATGTTTTTACCTGTCTAAACTCATATGCCATGAATTCGGAAGCCGCCGGGAGTCAGTGATTGGAGTTTATAAATTAAACATGAAATATTTTGGCAGGAAAAACCTTTCAATCAGCTTCATATGATAAGCGGTAACCCCCTGGCAGCATATGGGCAAGTTTTACAAAGGATTTATGTGGTTTACAAAATAAAAGCCACTATCCAACACCAATCTACAGAATGGGAAGCAATGAAAACTAGTCTGTGTCTTGTCTGAAAGCTGGAAGTCATATGCACTTAGGATGCAGGATGCAAGGATGGCTTGAGGGTGAGTAAATAGTGAGGGCGAGTGCACATAATTAGAAAATGGTTTGTAGGGTGACGCGGTGGCGCAGTAGTTAGTCCTGTCACCTCAGAGCAAGAAGGTCACTGGCTCGAGCCTCGGTTGGTTCAGTTGGCGTGTCTATGTGAAGTTTGCATGTTCTCCTTGCCTTCGCGTGGGTTTCCTCCGGGTGCTCCGGTTTCCCCCACAAGTCTAAAGACATGCGGTACAGGTGAATTGGGTAGGCTAAATTGTCCGTAGTGTATGAATGTGTATGTATGTTTCCCAGAGATGGGTTGCAGCTGGAAGGGCATCCGCTGCGTAAAACATGTGCTGGATAAGTTGGCGGTTCATTCCGCTGTGGCAACCCTGGACTAATAAAGGGACTAAGCCGAAAAGAAAATGAATGAATGATAATGGTATTTATGAAATATAGTGTCATTACTGAAACATGTTGCGTGAATTGAATTTGTGAGTCATCTTTTAGGGGTGAACTGTTCCTTAAATATACTCGTTAGACTTATTTGATTGATAGTTTGTTGTGTTTTGTAGGCTGTTCACCAGGAGTTACAGTCTCGTGAACAGGAGGTGAACTCTCTACAGGATATCTCCTCTCAGATCCTCCTACAGGACCAGGGTGAAGACACCCTTGAGGCTAAAGAGAAGGTGCACGTCATCAGCAATAAGTTACGGCTGCTCATACGACAGATCTCACACGACCTGAACACACTCCATAGCAGACTGGTAAGATATATTCAGTCTGCTATATGACTTAATGTAAATGTCTCACGCGCACAGAGTTTCTGGCCACTGGTATGTTTTACCTTCACACACACACACACACATACACACACACACACACACACACACACACACACTGATGTTTTGTCTGTTTTGCTGCAGGATTCATCAGGTCCTAATGTGGACAGAACTGCATCAACACAACAACAGGTACAGAAACACATCCAGCTTTTTTATCCTTTTCTTTTATTCCTTTACTGGTACAAGATGTTTGACAATTTGTTGTGCAATATTTAGTGTTGAGGTATGCTCTACATGACTTGTTGGCAGTTACAAAGTAATTAATTACACTAATTCAGTTACTTTTTTGCTGTAAAGCAATGGATTAATTTCCATTTTAGGTATTCAATTACAGTTGCCTACAATAAGAGTTACACTTATTATAATTAATTTGCATAAAATACTGTAAAAATGATTCAGTTTTGTATAAATCATTCAGAGAAAGTGTTTTTTATTAGACAAATTGATTTTACTTAGGCATTTTGTTTTTCAACTAGGTTACATTTATCAAGAGCATTAAAGCTGCTTAAGACAAGTTAACTGAGTGACAAATTAATGAAAATATATGGTGTGAGTTCAGAGAAGCAGGGTAATAGGTGTATATATTTTTGTTATCAATATTTTTCATAATAACACGACTAAACTCAACTAAAGAAAGTTAGATTTCTCTGACAACTGCACACGTTAAGGAAACAATGAATATTTGGTATGTATGGAATATAGTGTCATTACTGAAACATGTTGTTGATACACACAGTATAATGTTTGTCATTTAACATTTAAGTAAGTGTTACATTTTTAAAAAACCTAAAAGGCCATGTTTGATTCAAGTTTAATTAATAAAAAGTTTGATTTCTATTGTTTTTCTGTTGAGATTTACAGCGATTTAAGATTTTTAGACAAAAGAATTAGAGATGTAGTTTAAATACAACGTTAATGTAATCAGTAATTGATTACTTTTTTAAATAACTTGTCCAGCACTGCTCTACACATTAAGATAAATGTAGAATAAAAAATATATATATTTCTTTTAGTCATATGTAAGTAATAGTTTTGCTTTATTTTTCAAGATTGTTCTTTCTCTACTGTCCACTTTCCAGTTTTCTTCTCTGTGAAATTAGCAGAGGTAGTTTTGGTGTTAACTGAAATAAACGGGTGTTATTGGTTCTTATTGATGGTAAAAAAGTTATTTGTAGTAGTAGTAAAAAGAAGAATATTATATGATTTAGCTTTGAAATTTTTTCTTATCAATAATAATAATAATAATAATAATAAGGTGAAACAGTATTCTAGAATAAACAAAGGCTATTTAACTTACTCTGTATTGTGTTTAATATAGTCCATAAATCATTGTTGATTTAGTTTTTTTATTTCAAAGTATCAAGTAAAGTTTGATTTACTAGCCCTTTAAATAATACTTCATACAGTTTTTCAAATAAAATATAACTGCTGCTGATGCTGCTCTTCGTGAGTTTTTGCTTTTTGACTGGCAGTGAATGAGAGGTTTCCAAGAATGCGATTTTATGATGATGATTTATTATTATCACCACTTGTAACAAACACTGATTTTTTTTGTCTCTCTAGGAAGCATCAGGAGCTCAGGCTGTTACACAGGGATCTCCAGCGAGTGTCAGGTACACACTGATTTCTGTCTCTCTGTGTGTGCGTGTGTGTGTGTGTCATCATATGATCTTGCTGCAGTCTTCTAGTATTTTCTTCACACCCTCTTATTCTTAGTGTCACACATCTGCTCCACTTTCACCTGCACACACTGAACATGTACTCTATCTATCTATCTATCTATCTATCTATCTATCTATCTATCTATCTATCTATCTATCTATCTATCTATCTATCTATCTATCTATCTATCTATCTATCTATCTATCTATCTATCTATCTATCTATGTCTGTCTAACTGTCTGTCTGTCTGTCTGTCTATATTTTATAGTTTGTTCAATTATTTATTTATTTATATGCAGTTAAATAACTAGGCTTAGTTAATTAGGCAAGTTAGGGTATTTTTTTATAATTTTTTTTAGGGGTTTTTCACCTTTACTATAACAGGACAAAAGAGAATTCAGACAGGAAATCATTGAGAGCAGAGAGAGGGGAAGGATCGGCAAAGGACCTCGAGCCAGGAATGGAACTCGGGTTGCCGTGAGCACGTTGATGCTATATGTCAGCGCACAGTACCACTAGGCTACTGGCGCCAACATGGGGCTAATCATTTTGACCCTAAAATGGGTTTTAAAAAATTTAAAACTGCTTTTATTCTAGCCGAAAAAAATCAAACAAGACTTTCTCCAAAAGCAAAAATATTATCAGACATGCAGTGAACATTTTCTTGCTCTGTTAAACATAATTTGGAAAATATTTTTTTTAAATTCAAAGGGGGTTTAATAACTTCAACTCCTTATTTCACCCGAATATTTACAGTCTGAAAATGTAATAATCAATACTGACCTTCAGTCATTTCCAAACGAATGCTTCAAATGAGGGGTGGCCACACTGTTCCTGGAGAGCCACCTTCCCACAGATTTCAGTTGCAGTCAATATCAAACACACCTGAACCAATTATTTAGGACCTGAACACCACGTGATAATTACAGGCAGGTGTGTTTGATATGGGTTGCAACTGAAATCTGCAGGAAGGTGGCTCTCCAGAAACAGGGTGGTCACCCCTGCTTTAAATGCTAATATTAATATCAAACATTTTTGAAGGCACATTATGTAGTTATGGCGGTTCATTCCGCTGTGGTGACCCCGGATTAATAAAGGGACTAAGCCGACAAGGAAATGAATGGATTATGTAGTTATTATCAGAAGGTTTTACTCAAAACACTTTGTGTCTTCCGCCAGTATTGAGTGCGCAAAATCCCACCTGCATGATGAAGTTGTTAATAAGTGTACGTCTATGTTTGTGCAGGTGTGAGAAGCGCGAGTCGTCTCCAGCGAGGCCGTTTCTGTATCGTGTTCTGCGGGCTGCTTTTCCTCTGCATCTCCTCCTGCTGCTGCTGCTGGTGGTGGCCTGTCTGGTGCCTCTGTCAGAGGACGATTACAGCTGCACGCTCTCCAACAACTTCGCCCGCTCCTTCTATCCCATGCTCCTCTACACCAACGGACCGCCGCCAACATGAGTTCCAAAACACACACACTCGAACCCTTCACAGCAATGTCTGCAAGTTTAACCATTTACCTGCAACAATCAGTGGATTTGAGGATTTCTGGGAAACGTTTGTATATTTGAAGACTTGTATAGAATGTTCTGTAGCAGCGCATTGGGGAAAACGCCACACAAATGTATTTATTTTTGAAATTTAAGGACATATTTTAAGCGATAGATCGACTCTTGAGATGGCTTGTATTTTCTAAGTAGAAACCCTGTTTGTGTGTCTGAACGATGGAACCGGAATATCAGTCATCCACCTTTTTTTAGATTGTGTTTTAGATTATGGGTCGCACTTCCGGTTTGTGGAACTTCCATTCAAAAAATCTGAAATGTATTATCTTGAATAATAAAGTCGTGCTATGAATAATAGAATAATAGATATCTTTAGGTTAAACTGAGTGAGGTCATAATTTTTATTCGTCATTAATAACAATTTATTTAAGAATGACATCAGATTATTTTCTATTTTCTATTCCTACAATACATACATATTCAACATACGACCGTAATATTGCTTCATGAAATGCTCTTTTTCAAGTTTTTGAAGTAATTTATGGTCTGCTGAATGTAATTTGTTAACTGTGATCAGTTTAATGTTAAGGAAACACCACATTTTTAAGCATTTTACAACTCCCCTTGAGAAAAACAGTTGAGTTTTGCCTTTTTTTGATGTATTCAGGAGATCTGGCACTTCAGCTTAGCTTAGCATAGGTCATTGAATCAGATTGGACCCTTAGCATCTCGCTCAAAAAAAAAAAAAAAAAAAAAAGAGTTTACCACCATTTTCCTATGTTAAGCTTGACTTCTGTAATCAAATTACTGACGGGAGCACTTTTAGCTCAGCTTAGCTTAGCATAAATCATTGAATCGGATAACACCATTAGCATTCAATCGAATTAGACCATTAGCATCTCACTTAAAAATAAATAAAGAATTTGCCATAAGTTTGCTATTTTAAGCTTGATTGTTCTGTAGTAAAATTGCTGGCATGAGTACTTTTAGCTTATCTTTGCTTGGCATAGATCATTGAATCAGTTTAGACCATTAGCATCTCGCTCAAAAAAAAGATAATTGAATCTGATTAGACCATTAGCATCTCAATCCAAATTTAACAGAATTTGCCATCATTTTTCTATTTTAAGCTTGACTCTGTTGTCAAATTATTGGTGGGAGCACTTTTAGCTTAGCTTAGCATAGAGCATTAAATCGGATTAGACCATTAGCATCTCGCTCAAAAATGAACAAAGAATTTGCTTTAATTTTTAGATTTTAAGCTTGAATCTTCTGTATTCAAATTACAGGCGGGAGCACTTTTAGCTTAGCTTAGCATAGATGATTGAATCCAATTAGACCATTAGCATCTCATTCAAAAATGAACTAAGAATTTGCCATAATTTTCATATTTTAAGCTTGACTCTGTTGTCAAATGACTGGCGGAAGCACTTTTAGCTTAGCTTAGCATAGAGCATTGAATCGGATTAGACCATTAGCATCTCAAAAATGAACAGTTTACCATTATTTCCTATTTTTCCTGAACTCTTCTGTAGTTACATTGTGAGCTAAAATCGTTTTTTAAAAAGATGCTAATGATCTAATCAGATTCAATGATCTAAGCTAAGCTAAGCTAACAGTGCTCCAGCCAGACCCGAAGATCAGCTGAATGGATTTAAAACTGGTAAAACTCAACAGTTTAACTCTTGGGGAGTTTTTAAATTAGTCTATTTTCTAAAAAAAAAAAAAAGTGTTCCCTTAATATTTGATTAATGAGAATAATAATGCCACATCAGAAGTTGCCTCTGTAATTTATACACTAAATGTGTCGTTAGAAAAAGGTGGACTGTTTTGTTACAGGGAAATTAATATGAAATGATTTGAGATGTTAAATATATTTTATTTGTAGCTCTTTTAACTGCCATTTCTTTGGTCAAAGCCATTGAGTAGAGAAACAGTGAGGCGTCAGGGTGCGTGCAAATGTCTGTTTGTGTAATTTATTCAGCTGTCAACTTTCATGTGTGAATAATGTAAAGCTACTGAAGTTATTTAATTGTAATTAGTCAACAATCTCAGCAGAGATACAAATGGTGTTCCTTAAGCTAGAAGTTCTCCGGCAAGAGGCTGCAGAAGTTGTTTAGTTTTCTCTGGATTTTCCTAGACGGTTGAGGTGCGTCTCTTTAAAACATTTCAGAAATATCCACACGATTGGATGTGGCTGTTTTTAGTCTGTGACAGACAGTTATGATGGTAATAACATGGTGAAAAGCCATTAGTCGCTCTCACTTGTACTAACTGCCAAAGTGTCAGACGTCATTCTGTATGTTTTATTATAATTCACCACGGTTACTTTTTAAAGATATATATATATGTTATTTGTCCTGCTGCTGTTTGATTTTGATGTGTTTGTTATTAATTGTTATTGGTTTAAGGGTTACGTTATTGGTCAACCGAAACAAAGGTATAAATATCCAGATTAATCAGAGAAGCGTTCACTTTAATATGAATTTATTTTGCAGGAAACCTTGCACTGCCAACGTCAAACACTGGTTGAAGAAAATAAAAAGTTAGATGTGATGTTTGTGCTTCCTTTTGAGTTTCAAGTCAGTTTTACAACAAATAAACGTCATGTACAAATTTGATCTCCAAGTTTATTTATTTTCAGATTTTGTTGATCCAGATGTAAATGTTTTAACTACCTTTAGAAAGTTTCAACTGTATCAAGTATATTTCTTTCTGTTTAAAGCTGGTCTGTATATATATATATATATATATATATATATAATTTTTTTTTTTTTTTTTTTTTTTTTTGCGATGACATACTGTTTGCTACATATTGAAGCTGTTCATTGTTTAATTCCCAAAACCTGTAAACACAGTGCAACGCTCAGAACAGTGGGTCTTATGCACTACGCAGAAATAGGTTCACAGAGTCTGCATAGGACTCATGAATCACCCAAAACATATGAGGCAAGAAATGTTGAATTAGGGTACTAGTGATTTTAAAATTATGGTCTGAATCTGCTTTAAAATACTTATTACGGGTTTTATTTTTGTTTTGCCTGAATACACTGTAAAAAAAAAAATAAACCTAGGTTCCACTATTCGTCATGTTGTCACGATACAAACAAATTTAGTTAATTTTTACTAATGTAAGTGGATTAAACATAGAACATTTAAGCCTGACAAAAACAATCTTAAGAATTGTTGTTTCAGCCAAATTTCAAAAAGTTTTTTGAACAAGCAGCAAAAATAGTTTTACTGTAAAAAATGCTGGGTTCCACACAATCGATGAAGGAATTTAATTAACTTATTTTACAAACTGAAGTGAGTTGAAAATAAAACTATTAAGTTATCAAAACAAAACATAAGAATTGTCTTGTTTCAGTTCATTTTAAATAATTAGTTTGAACAAACTGCAAAACTGAGTGGTTTTTGAGTGTATATTTGTGTTTTGGTAGCCTCCAACTTACATTTTCTGAATCACAATGAAATAAAATTGCAGCTAAAATCTAATTCTTAAAACATAACTCTTCTGCTGGATGAAAACATGAATTTCAGCAAATTTAAGAAAACAATCCTCTTAAGGGTGCTGTATGTACATTTTTTGACTCCTCTAAAGCATAAAATACCATAATATGTTGCAGATATTTAAGAAAAATGCTAAGTGAACCTTCTTGGTTATCTAAAAAACAAGTCAGATAGACTAGTCAGATATTCTGCTTTGAAAATGTGTTTTGTGCCAGAAGGTGTCTTTGTTTTGGTTCTTTTAACCAGCCTAATGCCAGTTTAGCCAATTATATTTCCGCACTCGGGGTTGCCTTGGTGGAAATAGCATATTTCATTCATTCATTCATTCATTCATTCATTCATTCATTCATTCAGAAAGGCTCTTAAAGCATGCTCTCATGACTGAAATGCGACCTCAGGTGGACAGTAGCAGACTCCGAAATGAGAAACAGATTCAGAATTCCACATGAGGTTATTAATTAGCAATATAAATATTATGAGCGTAAACATTAGGTGAGCAGGTTACATTGTAACCCCGTGTCCTAACACACTACATGACAAGATTTGCAGTAAGAATTTTGACTGTTTGCACCAGATGAAACATGACAGAAATTTAAGCACAGTCATTCAGAAGCACAGACTATGCACACACTCATTAAATGCTAAGGTTTATAATCTAATTAATACAATAAACCTCTTTAAAATTATTATATGTAGACGCTGAATGACTGATAAGTGTTGGTTTTTACTGAGTCACAGTTATAAAGTTTAATTTCAAATGCTTTATTTTATCTGCTGTTGCTGCTTTCAGTAGTATGGCAATAAATGTTATGTAAAATGACATTCAAACTCACATTGTAAGCCTTTAACACTGAATAAAGCACATGAGGTGTACCTGAGGTGATCAGTTTATCCTGTTGTTCACCTGTGAGAAATAGAAGCCGTTTCTAACATACCCATTCGAGGTGTTGGTTAAAACAAAAACTTCTTTTAATATAGAAAATATTCCTTCAATCGCGTGCCATTGCTTTTATTTAGAACAGTGGTTCTCAAATTTTTTTCATCAAGTACCACCTCAGAAAAAAATTGTCTCTTCAAGTACTACCAAAATGAGCAGTATTGAAATATAGTAGTGTAGTAGGCCAAGTAAAGCAGCTACAACTCTCCACAGTTAAAAAATGTGGCAGATTACCTTAGAAATATAGGCTATATGTCATATATGGCTTATTATGTACATCATTTTTGATACATTTTTAAATGTGTGTAGCATGTACATGACATATTTAATTCCTCCGCGTACCACTAGAAGGAAGCCTGCTTACCACTAGTGGTACACGTACCACAGTTTGAGAACCACTGATTTAGAACATGATTTAAATCAGAATTTGGGTTTGATGGTCTCGCTGTTTGTTGTCAATCTGGCAACCTGCGCTTGCGTTTGTTTTTATCCAGGAATGCAATAACAAGTTCAACCACTGGATGTCAAATTTACACACTGCACCTTTAAGAAAAAAAAAATAGGAATCGGGCAGATTTTAATTCTGAAAGCAAATCTGAATCCACAGAATGAGACCTAATATTTTAAAACACAGACAATTGCGCTATATTAGGACTCCATTCAACTAAAGGCAGATGAGAGAGTGTTTTGGGAAAATATATTACTAGATGACATTGGAAAAATCATAAACTCCAGCTTTAATGCAACTGCAGTTGCTCAGAACAGATGCAGGTTGTAGTAATTATGCGAGGTGTTAAATCAGAATTGACATTTGCTAACATTTGTAGCACCAGAGAAACCCTCAACTGCCTCAGCAATTTTACACTACAAAGACATCTTTCCAGCACTCTCAGACATAAAAGCTACGAGAGCAATCACTGGGGTGGCACCTCTTCAAAACATACACATTTGTATTTAAAGAGTCCATATTAATACCACAAGGTAAATATTAGTACATAGCTTTCAAAATTCTAATTAGCATTTTTAGGCTACCATTATAGACCCTTTAGGAACAAGTGTGTTTCTGAGAGTGAGAGCTACACACTTTTGTGTGTATCATTTGGGTTTTGGAGCCAAAAGAGGCATCAACTCACAAAGACATATTTACTGTCAATGACAAGTACTTTATAAACCACGAAAAGCACTACAGGACAGCAAATGACATTCCAACGACTTACAGAAACACAAAGTACAAAATGCATAAACTATTAGAAGTGTGCGCACCGTTTTCGTTAATCAATAGTTCAGTCTGAAATCTTGGATGGCAAAAGAAACATTTACAGTTTGATTAAAACAAAATAAACGCTATGTAACTGTCTCAGCCAATGGTGTGATTTTTGGGGCTGGGCTTCCTGGTTGCAATGGCAGACTTTGGGAGTGTTTGAATCTTGTTGTTGTTGTTGTTGTTGTTGTTGTTTTCATTCTTCTAGCGGCACAGAAATGACACACTTCACCTTTACCACATACAGAACCAGATAGAGCCATAAAATGTTTCATTGAAGATTTTCTTGAACAAATGAGATGAGAATGATTCCTCTGTTAAAGGAAAACAATGTAGTGTTGTAGTAGCATTGTGTTGAAGCAGGACTGAGTGCTGTTTGAAAGCCCTGTTTGGTTCAGGTTGTCGTCGATCACCTGATGTTCCTTTTTTCATGTCTTAATCCCACATGCAAAAAATGCAGACTGGAAAACTGATGGATGGATGAATGAAATGCCAGATCCAGAGTCCCCCCCCCCCCCACAAAAGTCTGTGACTGTCAGTTTGTGTCCATGTCCTCTCGAAGCAGACTAGAATGCAATGTCTTGTTCACCGTCTCCTCAGCCCTAGAGAGACACAGATTATTAGTCAATCGATGAATAGATTAAAGGGGATGCAGGTGAGTTGGCTTGACAAACCACCTGTAGAAGACACTCTTTTCTTCTCCATATGCACCAGGCACCTAATATACATCGAATATTCATTGAAAAACCTGGTGCAATTCTGAGTGTGCTCCTTACAGGTGAGTGGGCTTGACAAACCAACTGTAGTAGACCCTCATTTCCTCTCCATATGCATCAGACACCTTACAAACGCCAAATACTTCTTGGAAAACATTGTGCAATTCTGAATATGCTTCACACAGGTGAGTGGGCTTGATAAACCACCTGTAGGAGACACACTTTTTTTTTCTCTCCATTTGCACAAGCCAGCATCTAATAAGCACCTTATGCTTTTTGAAAACATTGATGTTTTGTAATTCTGAGTGTGCTTAAGAGAGACAAAGTATATTAATCAGTCTATGAGTAGATGTTGTTCTTTTCTAAATTAAAGGGGATGCAGGTGAGTGGACTTGACAACCTACCTTTAGGAGACACACTCTTTTTCTCTCCATATGCACCAGACACCTTCTAATGCTGTGTTCACACCAGAGTCGCGCATCAAATCTGCTTTACTTAAGACGCGGAATAGTGTCATGGGCAGGGCTTCTGTCCGCCTGATGACTTTAGCTTCATTGCTAAATGGCTAACATTGATTTTATTAAGAGAAAAGCTGTGTTTATGTGCTTTATGAAGGCTGAAAAACAGCATCAATTCGTTCGGGGGAGTCCACTAGAGCCTTTCAGAGGTGCACCCAGCTCTGTGAGTTCATAAACTCAGAAACTATACCTGGATGATGGAAGCTTTCAGCGGTGCTTCTGACTGAGCCGAGCCCAGTTTGATCAACTGTTATCCGGTGTCGGCAGGAGGATTTCTCCGCGGGACACCAACAACACGCGTTATGTCATAAGCATGCCCCTACAAGAGAAAGCTCCTGATTGGTTAATGCGGCACGAATGTCCCCTGATGTTCAAATTTTTCCAACTGAAAAGATTCGCGCGAAACGCTAGTCAGTCGTGTCAATCCTGCAAAATGTCAATCCTGCAATCCTGCAAAACGCTTAACTCAAGCCATTTCATTTGCGCAAATAGTGTCATTTGCGCTGCCTCATTTGCACGTATCGCGCCGCAGGATGTCTATTCGTGTGAAGGCAGCATAATAAGCACCTCTGGCTTCTAGAAAACATTGTGCAATTCTGAGTGAGCTCTGCAGAGACAGTATACTAATCAATCTATGGGTAGATTTTGTTCTTTTCTAAATTAAAGGAGTACATAGATG